ACAATACAGTGCCATTGATTTTTGAGTCAGTTACGTCAGTCTTTGTGCCTTTAGGCACACACACTAAAAAATCAGTTTAGCATCGGTTAACGGTTAACTTTTAGCCTGTACCAATGGGTCGTTCTGACCCAGTGTTGGTGTTATCTTTTTTATATTGCTATACGTTTATATTATTTATAGTTTTGACCCAGTTTTAGAAACAACAAGCTTGAGTTTTCCCTTAAAACTTTCACAAAAGTATTAAAAAAATGACATATGACATTCAAAACAGCAAAGGATACACATATTGTTAACTGTCTGTAACTAATAGTGATAATAGCGAGAGTAGATTAGAGTTCCTAACCATACTATATTTTAGTCTGGGTTGTATGAAAAATAACACTAACATTGGGTGGCTTTCTACTCATGAGTAACCGCTATTGCCTTGGTGCTACATTGACCCAGATTGCATCAATTTTGACTCTGTGATTAACTCAAATATTAACATCTGCTATATATACCAGATCCTCCTGGTATTGCAGCTCTAAAGCCATTCATAGCATCTACTTGTTGGATCTGTTTGACCTTTCAATGAACATCAGTGCATACCTTAATATCAGCCTCTGCGTTGTCCCAGAACACCAACAGCCAAACTAACAAAGCAGCAAGCAGCCGCAGTCAGAGAGAGAAAGAGAGCAGAAAGAGAGAGAGAGAGAGGGAGAGAGGTAGAAATGAAGAGCAGTAAGGACAGGAAAGATGTGGAGAGATGAGGAGTAAGTTTCAGGAAAGAGAGAGCGGAAGAGATGTGAGAGAAGGATACTGGATGAGAGACAGATGGAGGGGAGAGGTTGAGACGGAAGAATAGAGAGAATGGGTGATAAGAGGAGGAGAGGGAAAAAAACAAAAGGATCGGATGAATGGAAAGGTTGCTAAGTAATACATGAAGGAGAGGATGAAAGAGAGACAGAGGGAGGGAAGGAAGACAAAAAAACGAGATCAAAACGTGTGAATGACAGGTCCAGATGTGACCGATGTGTCAGCCAGGCTCAGCTTGTCCCTCGAGCAACAACAGACTGAGCTGAAAAGCAGAGCGAGACTGACATCTAGTGGAAGGAAAATCAACAGCAACTTACCTGTTTTTTTTCCTTCATCCTGTTTTATATTTGCCCTCTTTCTGGTTAGAGGTAGTCCAGCTGTGCGAGTGCTGGCAGCTCCTCTGAAAAATCCTCAGCTGCAACCTACTTATCAAGTCAGAGCTCATATTTGTCAATTGTTTTAGTGTGGGAAATCAGTCCTGGCTGCATAAAAAACAGTGACACATTTGGTTGAACCTTTAGACTAAGGTATAAAAGCTTGACTACTGTCTCTGCTGCTGAGAATGAGGACAGATCCAGAGGTGTCTGGGGATGCTCAGGGATGGAGGTCAGGCAGCAACATACGCAAAACATTATGTCATTGAATGAATGCCAAAAAAAAAAGAGGGAACATTGTTTAGGATGATCACAGTTCAGTTCAGTCAGTTTGCTCAGTCTCTTTATTAAACGCTAATATCTCTGTACAACACTTTGTAATGTGAAGACGTCTATCCAGCTCTTCTCACACTCATCAGGGGAGCGAGTGGCAAACGGAAAGAAAGTGTTGATTGCCTCTGAGATTGCCCTCAGTGCATTTTCTTATCTTGGCTGCTGAGAATTGGGCTCAGTTTATCTCTTTATGTTTTTGTTTTCTGCAAAACACAAGAATGTCTTCCTGTCCTTTGTTTTCTGAAGATATTTCTAAAATTGTCTTCCCAATACCACATAGCTGTATGTAGACAGTGTACAACAATGATTTCATGCATTTCAGTCAAACTTCAAAAGCTTTTAAAGGACCAATGTGAAGGATTCAGTGGCATCTATTTGCCGATTGCAATTCCCTCACCTCACCCTCCTGTTCGAACTGTGTAGGAGAAATTACGGTGGTCTAACCTTGGGTGGCAGCTGGGCTTGTAAGATCACAGAATCACACGAGAATCCATCTTGCCAGGCTTCAATCTATGCGTTGGTGGCTGGTACAGTGGTACAGGACTAATCCGGGTCCTTTGAGGAAGTACTGGCAGCTAAAGGGGTGGGATGTGATATCAGAACTAGAGAGTATTTCTTCATTGACAGAAGAGAAGAGAATGGCACTGAAGGCTTTTTCAATGGAAGAGATGCTTTTACTCTTCTCCCAACTGGCTGCAGTAAGTTATATTCATTGATCTCATTGGATAAACAATGACTTCATCACCGGCGAACTTCAACCAATCACCTGCCAAGTATGTTTCCAATGATGGCTTTCCAGATAGTTCTGAATGCTGGCCCTATCTACAGCCAGTGTTTGGTTTGTCTGTTCTGGGTCACTATTGAAACATGGCGGTTTAACATGGCGGACTCCATTCTGCTCTCTCTCTCTGTAGATAAAAACAGCTTATTCTAAGGTAACAAAACCACAGCAATTATTTTCAGGTGATTATACACTAATGAAAACATACCTATAAATATTATATTATATTTCTGCCAATAGAT